GCGCGAAGAACATAGTCGCGTAATGATACGCCCATTACAGATAAGAGGCTCTTGGCACCGTTCAGGTTCCATCACGACGCCACGTTATTCTCTGGTATTCACATTCCTCACAGCCCTCCCATATCCGGTCAGCTCTGACCTTTGGCCCGCCTGACCCCAAATCTAATGACGTCAGAACGACCCTGAGGTTAGCCGGCACAGCGTGCCAGCAAGACCCCGCTAGTTCGCTTTATCGGATCCTCTGCAGTCTGCACCGCAACGTCTGACCTTTGACTCCTGTCGCCCGATAACCGACTCTCGAATCCGTCCCGCCTGACTTCCAATCCCTTCCTCGCATATTATCACTCCTGACCCAGGGCTCCTGACCCATGACTATAGGTTCATGACTCGTAGGACTATGTCCGGTATATAACTGTTTTATATCAATGCCTACCTACATTCATGCTACATGATAAGTTCATGACACGTGGGATTATTTCCGGTATATAACTGTTCTATATCAATGCCTACCTACATTCGTGCTACATGATAAGTATATTCATGTCCAATACCTAATTCTCAATGCCTAATTCCCAGATCATGAATCATGACTCCTGACATATATATGACTCCCGATTCCTTAACTTGAACTCCTTACCCAAGCACCAAACCTCTCAACCCTGCCTCCTGATTCAGCATTCCGACTCTTAGCACCCGGCTCGTGGTCCCTGATCCCTGGCACGTGACCCCTGACACCCGCCGCGGGAGGCGCGGCGCCTGCTGGCCGCCCCGCGAGGAAGCGCCGCCGCCGGCGGGCGTCGTTCGCGCCACCACCGCCATTATCTTTGCCGTCCGGCCAGGCCGGCCCTCGACCAGTCCTCAGCCAAGCAGGCGAAAAACACGCCGCAAAAACGACCGATGGCCAGCCCGATGCGCGCGACAGCGTCGGCGCGACAGTCGCCCACGTCACGAGCGTCACGCCCGCGTCACGAGCGTCACGCCAGCACCCCGAGCGTCACGCCCGCGCCGCGAGCGGTGCCGCGACACCGCGGCGGCCGGGCCGGGCCGCTAATAAATTGACCAGTTAATCGTTGGCGTTGCGGCGCGAGGAAGCGACCGGCTGGTTTGGCCATTAGCGACGCGCTGATCAGTCCGATTTGGCCCGCCCGACCGTGTGAGGGCATCCGGTCCGCGTCTGCCGACATCCGGTCCGACGGGCCAGATGTCCGGCCCTCGGCTGCATATGACACGCGTCCGGGCCGAGGGCAGAACCGGCCGGACCGAGGACTGAACCGGCCAGACCGAGGGCTGAACCGGCCGGACCGAGGGCTGCACCGACCGGACCGAGGGCTGAACCGGCCGGACCGAGGGCTGAACCGACCGGACCGAGGGCTGAACAGCCCGGACCGAGGGCCGAACCGGCCGGACCGAGGGCTGCACCGACCGGACCGACGGCTGAACAGCCCGGACCGAGGGCTGAGCCGGCCGGACCGAGGGCTGCACCGACCGGACCGAGGGCTGAACCGGCCGGACCGAGGGCTGAACCAGCCGGACCGAGGGCTGAACCGGCCGGACCAAGGGCTAAATCATTTGAATCTATGGCTGCGCTGTCTGGACCAGATGCGCATCTTCCGGAACGTAGGTAAATTTGTCCAGACCAAAGGACAAATTTACCTACTATCTGTCTAGAGTCGTGGCACGCCTAAGTGGATCGGGGGGACGTATGGGCAGGCTAAATGCGAATTTAGGTGAACTTAAGTCATGTTACATTACTGTATGCCAAGTATACATGAGCGGATGTATAAAAAAGAGGGAACAGACTGTATGCACCCTTCCCCGTTGCCATCGCGGGAGGGAGGAGGGAGGAGGGGAGGGGGGAGTACATACGTGCAGGCTACAGATGCACTTACTGGGACTTACGGTACATGAGCGCAGAGCATATGCATGTTATAAGTCCGAACTAAAGGTACAAATGTTCGCGGATATCAGTCAGATCCATAGGAACAGTGAGGGAGAGGGAGGGGCCGCCATTCCTTGTGAAAAAGGTGGTCATTATCCCAGCGTGCGATGGCTGGAAAGACACCTGGAAAAGACGATTGCTCACACGTCTCTTCCAGTTGTTCTGACGTACACATGCCATGTCCAGGTTAGGCATGCATGTCCAAACCGCCGGTAAAATTATTGTCCGTATCCAGTGCTCGCCTTTTTAGCAAAAAGGGTATGAGTGACCCAAAGCAACACTTGTGCGGACCATGGGTACATTAATAACATGATAATAAGGGTATACGTGCGAGAATAATAAGGGGATATGCATAAGCATATGAAGGGATATGTATAAGTGTAATAAGGAGATATGCGTAATACAAATGTAATAAGGGGATATGTATAAGTATAATGAGTGGATATGTATAAAAATAATAAGGGGATATGTATAAGTATGATAAGGGGATATGCATAAGTATATTCAAATCGTAGCTGGAACCATCTTAAGTCGGCTGCTGAAAAGTGTCACTTTTCCGTGAAGATGTACACAAGTCCCGTCCGAGCCGACGCACAACCCTCTCGGTTGTATTAGTGCCTAACACACTCGGTGACGGCGTGAGTGGTCGGCCTGGTGACGCGAATGCGCCGCACGAAGGATCACATATGCAAACGGTGAGATCCGGGTGCCGACCCGGAGTCCTGGCCTGAGGCCCCGCCCCCACGGGAGGGCCATCCGCGCGCCAGCGAAATGAGGCCCTGAATTTACGTCATATTGGGCCGGGTCGTTCAGCTCGGCCGGTGCTTTTGGACGTTTAGGTCCGTTCAGCCGGGGAAATGATATCGACGCCGCCGTATATCCGGGCCGCACTTCTTTAATAATCGCGGTCCAAGCTGTTGCTGCAGTCCCCTCCCCTGCAATACCTCGCGATTGGTGACTGGAGTTTGGTGACTGGAAAAGCCGAGGGGCGAGACAAGGTGCCGCCACACGCAGCGTGAGCCTCCGCCGCATATGGAGCACAGATTCATCTGGGATCTCTTTAAAAAGGCGAGTCTTCGCGAAGAAAAAGACGACCTTTCGCGTAGAGACGGCTGACTCTGTCTGCCACGCGTGTGCTTTGCACTCTGTGAGTGCCTTTCTTAAATCGTCCTGATAAATCGACCTAAATATGCCTATTAAGCGAATGTCATATGACAACCACTCTTGCGGCGTGCTAATATGCGATGGCCCTAGTGCTAAATGTTACCGCCCCTAGTGGCATTATGCAAACGGACGCTGGCGGTTCAGTGGTTGGACAGTAAGGCTCAGAGTCCAGCTGAGCTGGAAGTTCTCAGTGCCCTCTGGACTGCGACAGGTGCGCGCGGTGGCCAAACGGCCACTGAAGTCGCACCGCTGGGCCGTCACCGTTCCTCAGCGTGACAAACGGCGTTAGGCAAACGCTGCTCCGACCGTCTTGTCACGACGAGAGCCCACCTGGCCTCCTCAGGACGTGGGCTGGGGGGGGGGGGGGGGGGGGGAGGGCGTGGCGGCGTGAGACGATCGGCTTCTCCGGCGATAGCGGTAACTGCCGACGCGGCGTCCATTGAGTCGTCCATTTAATCACCTCCTCGCGCTGGGAGATTATTTCGGCGCGCAATGGCTCGGAAACATCGCGCCGAAGTGGCTGGCATGCAGGGCCGGCCGCCCACGACGGCGCGCAGGGCTCGGAAACATCGCACCGAACTGGCTGGCATGCAGGGCCGGCCGCCCACGACGGCGCGCACGGCTCGGAAACATCGCACCGAACTGGCTGGCATGCAGGGCCGGCTGGCCACGACGGTGCGCACGGCTCGGAAACATCGCACCGAACTGGCTGGCATGCAGGGCCGGCTGGCCACGACGGCGCGCACGGCTCGGAAACATCGCACCGAACTGGCTGGCATGCAGGGCCGGCTGGCCACGACGGCGCGCACGGCTCGGAAACATCGCACCGAACTGGCTGGCATGCAGGGCCGGCTGGCCACGACGGCGCGCACGGCTCGGAAACATCGCACCGAACTGGCTGGCATGCAGGGCCGGCCGCCCACGACGGCGCGCAGGGCTCGGTGCCGGCACCGGCGACCAGCGACGCCCAAAGAGCGGGATCAGATCAGCGGTAGCACTGCGGTTCGGTGAAACGGTCGGTGACGCTTGACATTAAAGTCAAATACGGCGGAGATGCGTGTTTCAGATGACGACGGTCAAAATGGTGGAGGGTCGGGTTATTGAATAGATGCGTTTCTGAACTGACATTTACAAGCGCACTCCAGGACATGCGCGCTTCAATGGGAAACGTTTCGACGCATTTCGTGATGGGGATCAAATCAATTGCGCTTATATGAGTGCTATCAATAACGTCCCTGCGTTTGATGGATGCGTTTGATAGCGGCAGAAAACGTACCAAATATGCAAAGTACGTTCGGTGAGCATAAAACAAGTTCGCTCAAGTTGACTGAGACAAAACAAACGGAAAAGACAAGCATGCATTTGCCTATGAGGTAATGGTATCCATTTGAACTAGGAAATATTACTGCAAAACATGACTCATATAGTTCAATATATGCCTAAGATAACGAATAAAGGCAAAAAATGAAAGCGATAGCTGCTTCCCGAGCGACTTACCGAACATCAAAACTTTCCCTCTCCACAGAATGAAACAGATGTAGGCTACACATGCCAGAAACATAGCAATTTCATTCTTTAAAAACAAGTACCCATGTCTTACCCAAATAGAACCCAAATGTTTTGTTATGTCCACTTGATCGGCATTGTTATCACTGCTCAGGACATAATCAAATATATTATTAGCTACACTATTCAGTTGTACTGCTCCTATGTCAGCGAAATATCGGTAAGGTTAGTATTACAGACCATGGGAGAAATAGACGTGACATGCAGCTCCACAGAAAACAGCACGTTTTAGGAAAACGAATCGTAAATATGCTTCCGCCGCTGTGTTGCCTTCGTTGCGACACAACACAGAAGCACTCGAAAAGGGCGCTAACGAAGTCCATGAACTGACCTGAGTGCTGCGCTATCCAAAGCGCGACTGTGAGCAGGCCGAGCGGCGGCATGCTGCGCCGTGTGGGGCACCTCGGCCCAGGTCACCGCACCACCGAGCGCCTCAGCACCGCGCGCAGCCTCCACCCCTTCCCCGCTGGCGGTAGTCGCTGGCTGACTGGTCCGCCGCGCACGCCAAACAGCGGAGCGTCGTGCCGGGCCGACGGCTCGGGGTAGTTCCCACAGACGCCGGAACGCGGCGCCACTGAGCCCGACGGCGAATACGATGCTCGTGCGGCCAGAGTGGCCACCGCCGGTTTACTTGTGCATGCATATAGAGCAGACGTATAACGTTTTTTGGCGGCAGCGCAAGAGCTCGCTATGAAGACGTGCTTAGCAAAAGCTTTGAGTGCACCATTAACCGTAGAGAGCCTTCACAACTGATTTGATAGAAGTTGAATATTGCACGACTACAAACCCCGTCACAAGCTTTTTGTTCTCAGCATAGATACCGTTGTCACTGTTTTTGGAAAGGATTTTGAAGATATGTCAGGTCGCTAAGTCATGAACTGATTAGGAGAGGGTCAGACGGTGTGCTTGCGTGGGTTTTGTAGGGGTCTCCACAATGATATTGGCTCTTGTCGGACCCCTATTGGAAGCCGGATATCTGTCTGTCCCCGATCTCTCGGACTCGCTTTGGGCCGCATATTGGTTCTTGCAGGTTTCCACAGAGCAATTTAGTGATGGAACCTGTTTTTCGATTTATCTCTGGTTCCATTCCGAACCGGTTTCTAGGTTCTTCCTGATTTAATTCTTAGTGATTGATCTTGTTTTTATGTATCTCTGGTTTGCTTCCAAACCGGTTTCTAGGTTCTTCGTAATTCTAGGCCCACTTTATTTTGTCGAAAAACAAGTTAAATTCTTAGTTTTATGTCAATGGCGTATAAAATTCAATATAGGCAGCAAATTAGTTGTGCAGGGGTGGTTTAGAGTTGGGCACTGGAGACACGTGCCTCTTCTGATCGGAAAGTAAAGGCGCCCCTAGGCCATCACGCGCCCTTAGTGGCCGCGTTAGGGTGCCGAAGGTACTCTTCTATGGCCGCTGTGGGTGGCCGCACGTATTTTTTCATTGTGGGGGACGGGGACGGGGTTATTTTGAAGAACTTGGGCCGTCCCGATACTCCGGAGTTTTTAAGTTCAGCCTCTTTAACCTTTGCGCCTCTAACGGCCGCCGATGCTTTTGCTTAATTGCATCGTTCATCCGCTCAGAAGTTGCGATTTTATCTAGCGGTGAAAGCAAAGATGAAGTTTTAGCACGAGGGGAGGGGTGTTCTAGTGTTGGTGGGTGCACTGCTCTGTACGACAAGCAACGTGTTGGCCAAATTATACAACCCACTCTATTTTGTAATTGTCCATGAATATCGGGCACAGCGCCACGCGTAAAACACTGCTTCTCTCTCTAAGCTATGATTTTTGCGTGACTCATGAGCAGCGTGCGACAAGTTTGGTCTAAATTTGACCTTGTATCACAATTTTCGATTCAGCTATGTCATGTCATCAACAACTGTAATTGACAGAATGATCATAATGCATCATATCGACAATCCTGAATTGTGCTATACAGCTTATAATTAGAAATTCACACTGACCAACATTTGTGTAGGATTGGGGCTAAACGAAAGCCGCTTCATTTGATACACAAAAATACGCTGTAAAATGACAGCGAGGATGAGTATGTTGTCACTGCGGTGTAGAAAATTATTGTGCTTTTAGTAAAACAGCGACATGCATGCCTTTCATAAAATTGTTGCGCGCCTGAGGTGCGCGTAAATCTGCGTTGAATGGTTACATGTCATAGCATATAAGCTACAGTGTCATATTATGTAAACCAGTTTAGTTTTTTGAGGGCTCGCTCTTCATCGGCATGATACAAATGACCTGAAATGATGAAATGAAAATGAAATACTAATGACATGATACTAATACTTAATGACCAACCTACAAATTAAGCTTAACTGACATGCGTAAGATTGCGTATATTGAAAGGGATACCATGTCACACGCCTTCGAAGGATGCCATGCAAGTACATGGCATCCTTCTGGCCAGCCTTTCCCCGTGTTTTTGTAACATTCCAGGCAAAAATATTGGGTGCAAGCCAACATTGAGCGACCCAGCTCAACATCGGGGGACGGGGCAGAGCCTTCACAAAAGAACGCAAATCGACACCTGTATCCTTGACGTCTGTTAAATCATGATATGATTCGGAAACGCAAGAATGCGCTTTTTCTTTTGGTTCTAGTTTCGAAGTCCTCCTTTTGTTAAACGGGAGAGTCAGGGGCACTTCAAAGTCTTAACAATATTGTGTTAAAGGTACGTTTTGCAGCCTTTGACTTATCAGTCACGTGACAGATAGCAAAGATTTCTGGGTAAAAGTGACTGGAGCTATGAATTGCCGTTTGGCTTTTTGGTCCAACAATTAAACCCTGAGATACTGTGAGACACATTTACTGATACTCCTATCACCATACTTTTGTTTAATCTCTTCCAGACGTTCGCTGATTATCCCCATCTCGCTACGACGACATAAATGAGTATCGTTCTCATATATTAGATCGGACAAAGTACTCACGTCCTGTCGTGCCCTTATTTCCAGTTACCAAAGCCAATCCCAGCGACAAATTCGGAAGATAGGGAGCCACTGACCGTGCTCTCCCCAGTTCCCATGCCGCCAAAGACGTCAAAGACGTGAAAGCATCTCGACGCATCGATAAGGCAGAGCAGAGGTCTCGTCTCCGTCGGCAGCTGTGATGATGTCATTGGTGAAGGACATCGCAGGGACTCACCACTGTTGGGTATGCTCACCACTGACGGACACTACTGTGGGGTATGCTCACCACTGACAGACACCACTGTCGGGTATGCTCACCACTGACGGACACCACTGTCGGGTGCGCTCACCACTGGACGGACACCACTGTCGGGTAAGCTCACCACTGACGGACACCTACTGTCGGGTGCGCTCACCACTGACGGACACCACTGTCGGGTGCCGAAGACGCGAACTGCGCTGGGCCGGAGGGTGAGACTGATAGGTTACACCACAAGCGGACAGCTGGCTGTGATTTTGGCTGTGGCTGGCGCCATCAGTGTCTTGAGCAAGTGCAGCGAAGGGCAATGGATCATAGCCTGTCATCGGAGGTTTCGTCTCAGTCAGTGAAGTTAGTGTGCGGGCATCAGTGAGCACCCTGTTTTCACCTAATTTCGTTTATAACGCAGCGAAAAGCAGAATTCGCATTCCCCACGATTGTACACGCAACTTTCCTGGACCGACCAACACCTGCACGTTTTTGTTTTACATGAAATCCCCAGCCATGTTTCCTTTATGAACCGTATATGCATTGGAGAATCAGGGTCATTTTTATAAAGGCTTTTGTGAAGGGCTAAGATCGGAAGAGTTGGGGGGCCGAAATGTTGGAGATCATCATCATCTCAAGTGGATAGAGTCGGAAAGGGAAAAAGGGAGAGGAGACAACACACGCGAATAATGCACACCCGATACCCAAAACATACAGCCGTGACCCTAACTCTTTTGACCTTCTAACCTTTAGCTCATATTGCAGTCTGCAGCCCTCCAACAGCAAACAGGTCAGCGCTCTTAGTTTTAGGGCAATTCATGTATCACCAAGCAGTGTTGTTTTGACTGTGGCTAAATGTCCTACATCGATGTGGCGATGCACAACTTTCAGTAGGTGATTCACTTCCCAATCTAACTCGAAGTTAGCTAGTTTACACGCAACCATGACTTTAATGTTTTGCTTAAGCTTTTCCATCATCTCTCCCACTCGTACCTGCCTGGCGCAAATGTCAACTGCTGACGGCGTTCTTGGAACCGCAAAAACGGACCGTTTTAGTCTTCACGAAACAGGCTCCACTTCAACAAAGAGCACAATTCAAGATGTGATTGGACCGTCTCCGACAGGGTCAAGCGCGTCACGATCTCTCTTGTTCCCAAGCCGGGATCACAGTCGCTTCATCCGGTATCGAGTCGTGCTGACAGTCGTGTTGGACGCGGGATGACCGGTTCGTGGGCGCCGGAGATCCGGAGAGTGGCGAGGACGCTGCGGTGATTCCGCCACCGCCGGCCGCTGTATCCTCAGAACGATAGGAATCTCGCTTGAAACGATTTGTTAGTGGATGGCGGAGTCTGGTAGCGAGGGGGTGCATGTGCCAGCTGCAAGTGCCAACTGGTTCTGTGTTGTGGAGAGTTTGGGACTCGCGTTGTGTGGCGGTCTGAGGTCACAATAGGCGTGGGGCTTGATCGCACTGATAGAAGCACCCTGCTGGCCTGCAGCGACGGAGCATTTTACGGCACCTTGTCGGCCTTTTGTCACCGTTAGCAACTCGGAAAGGCTTTCAGCGAGTTAGCACTAATTTGGCCGAGACGATTGTTTATGTTTTGCCTTGGGAGCCGCTAAGTGCATTACGCTCTCAGTACAGAAAACTGTTGCGTTTTCGTGTTAAGCTCAGCGACCTAGAGAAGGCCGGGAAGATTTCCTAACCGTCTACAGAAAAAGTGCTCGAAAAAGGCTACGGTGAGGAGCTTGACGGTAAATTCGCACCAACATGCTATGGCACGAGGAGCGACAAGATACGTGATCAGAAGGTGCAACATGCAAACGAACAGCACACATTGCGTCAGAAGGCTACATGAACAGCAAAGCAATCGACAGGCGCCCATGAGACCACATTATCTTAAGCATTATTTCACACGATGCGAAATCGATACCATAACTTTCATTTCGTCATTGCATTTTAAAACAGTTGCAGTTCTTACCCCTTTGATTTTTCCTAAGCGTTAATGTTACGCAACGTTTTGGAACATGATATTTCTGCACAGTCCATGGACGACTCCAGGACCGGTTTTGGAGGCATGATATAAGACTGTTTAAGCACGGGCCGTTCAATCCGGGCTCTCCGTCCGCCGTTCTCAAACTTCACACGGCAGACCTTTGACCGGGGTTAGTTAATATAGGATGGTTATATTGATGCGAACTGTATTTAAGTCGCATGGGAAACATGGGGCACTATGCTTAGGTCACGTGGGACACATGACTTGTCAGACGCGAGCACAGG